CCCCCCCCCCCTCCTTCATTCCATTTATGGAAATAATATTGTTTTCATCACTTTCACTTGAGGCAGTGGAGATTATGGAGAGGCACAACTGGCAGTAAATAACTAATATATGCTATTACAAATTACAAGTGTTTGTAGGGTTCATTAACACCTTTTCTAGCAATAATGCAACTGTGAATTGTAATGGTAATGGTACTGTCAGAGTTCCTTCTAGGCTCTTCAGAATGTGTATGTTTGTAAGCAAGTGGCTCTTTGGTTCTCCATAAAACTTGTCAAGCAGTTATGTACAATTTTGCTAGCTTGCTAAAATGTTGGCTATTTTAAATTTGATATTCACATACTTTTTCCTTAAATAAACAGGAAATGAAGGATCAGATGTCAAATTCATCCGTGCAAGCATTGGCTGAAAGAAAAAACAGGCAGGTGAGAATTAGTAGCAGGCTGTCTGCTAAAGGATTTTTCAAGATACCTGTGATAGTAGTAGTAGGATTTATCAATTATAGCGGCTACTGAATTAAGCTATGCATTACATGAAAGTACACCTAAGTTGTTAAGGGACTTCACGTATGCTAAAGCAGAGTTAAGCCTCTACTTGAGTAATATAATGCATATAAGTAATATAATGCATAACTTATATTAGTATTAACATGAGTGCTTATTTAAACATCCCACATACCATGTTATAACATGGAACCCTCTGTCCAGCAGAAGCAATTGTAGCATTTGTCTTAAAATGGTGTCATATGAAAACTGAGAAGGTGTCTGGTTTGCTGCAATTCTCTTGACATTGTAGCCAGTGAGAGTACTTGTTCGGACAGGCACAGTTGCTTAGATTATCTTTAAAAGCTTAAGAAAATATTATAAGGTATTACTCCCTGTCTTTTTCAAAACTGCTTACACACATCAGTCAATTTTGCATTGCCTTTAGAGAAGAGGGAAGTATCCCTGTTTCTTAGAGGAGGGATCTGAAGCAGGAGAGGTTCCATAGTTTAACCTTCCATGCAGTGGTGGGTTCCAAGTCCCGGGCTGTCATTGCAGCATTCCTGACTCAGTGCCACATTTTGCTATGTTGATCTAGTTGGATAGATGTGGTTGTCTTATAACAAGTAGTTAGAAATGAATTAATATTAGAAGGGTGGTTATCAAGTTCTCTTTGCTTGTAAGGACATGACTTACACCAACCTCCAACTGACAGGAGAGAGAGGAGGAGTTGCAGAGTTGACCTCTAGAGCTGCCTGTAGTGAAATGTCTGCATGCATAAATCACTTCATACAGCAGATGCACATCTGAATCTTCAGCAGATTTATTACTCGTGTCAGAATTAACTGAAATTTTGGAAGTCTGGTAAGGAGGAGGGCAGCTCTAATCCTTAAGTCTGTTATACAATAATGAAGTATCTTGTTTATGATCTTTGTGTGTCTTTATAGGCACTCCTGGGAGAAAGTACAAGTCAGAGTTGGAGCTCTGGATCAGATAAATATAGCCGTTTGGATCGAGAGCAGCAATTAGCAAACTCGCACTTCATTGAGGAGCAGCAGGCTCAACAGCAGGTACAGTACTTCCTGCAGTCTGTGGATTCCCCTGGCTGACTGAATGTGAAGGAGGTGGCAGGGCTAGCAGCAATAGCCAAAAGCTAGGGTAGGAGCCACCTTCAGTGCTCTGTGAGTTGAGGCTCCACTTTTCAAGCTAGCTTGCCTAGGAACCTGTCATAAACCCATGCTTTAAGTGCTTATCTGCTTGATACTTTTTTTTTTGTATTGGGATTTTAAAACTTGGGGTTAGAGTGTCTAACCTTGTGCTAAAGGCAGCTAAGGTATAATCTGGAAGCTGTAGCACATGAGCACAAAAATTGTTGAAATCCTTAAGCATAAAAACATTGCGAGGGGAATTCCAGATTTTTCCCTCCCATTTGAAAAAGCTAACTGACCTTTAATTCATCAGATCCCTAGATTCATTTGATTTTATTTTTATTTATTTATTTTGCAACATTGGCTTTTCTTTTGTATGTTTTAGTAAAAATAAAAACTTATTTCTTGTCACTAATATCCTTGCACCAGCTTAACCTTAGTCTCTGTTTACTTTTGTCTTTGTCTGTTTTTAGCTCGCTAAAAAAAGTGTTGGAGGCAAAGGGGTAAGGGGAGGGAGATTTTGAATTGTCCTCTAAAATCAGGCAGGTTTAGGCTTATTGTGATTTTTCTGCGATAGAAACGTGCAGTCAGAAATCCACTGGTGAGTGTTAAAGCTTTGATCTAGACAACTCAATATCTCTCATAAGTCTGGCTGCTCTTTTGAGCACAGAACCCTGAATTAGATGAGGATTCAGTAGAGATCATAGCTCTGATGTGCTTTTCTTGCTTGACCATATGTTGTATAGTACACACCAGTTTAATAGTTGCATGTGTCTTCATCAAAATGGATTAAACAGGCTGTTTGTAAGAGTTGCATGTGCCTCTCTCTCTCTTCTGACAATGCATTTGATACAATAGAAAATTTGAATCATCAGCTCTGCTGGGATCCATTGTGAGGTGGTTTACGTGGACTGTTTGAATCTCATTTAGAGAATATCCTGGACAGCATCCAAGTGTACATGTACATACAGCATTCTATCCAAGCATAGGCACTTAAAAGAAATACTTTCTAGTGGTAGCAAATGTTGCATTAAAGGTTCTCCTGAAAAACCAGCTTTTCTCGTTGTTGAGTAATCCCAACTACATACCTATCCTTACCTAGTGACCTAATAAAGAACAGTTGCTTTGGGAGGAGGGAACTAAGGTAAATCCAGAACTTAGTGTGGCTATGGACTGAAAGTGATTAATACAGCATCTTCTTCAGCAATAGACCTTTTTCTTTGGTGTATTTAGAGTCAGATGTGTTTGTTTTAAACAATGAAAGCTTTTATGGCTTTTTTTATTTATGTTAGCACTGCAGAGCCAGCATAGCTGAGAGGTATCTGGGTTCTGTTCCATGATGTATACCTCAGCATTTCTGCAGAATTCTAGTCATGCTCACTGAAAGCAATAGAGTTGCACAGGTGTCACTGAGGGTCTGCTGAAGCCTACAGAACTTTCCTGCTAGTGGTGCACAAAAATAAAAAGAACGTACCTTGATTGAGCCCAGCCTGAGTGTAGGCCTAAGAGGAAAAAAAGATGGATGGTATCTGCTACCACTATTGGAGACAGGGTGCTAGGCTAGATGGGTCTTTTGTCTGATTCGTTACAACACTTCTTATATTTGTTTTGTAAAGTGAGAACACATGATAGGGACTTCCTAAGACACCATAAAAAATCCTGTCAACCTTTTGCAGTTATTTTTTAGAGCAGAGCCATGTCAGGATTGCTCTTGGTAGCTCAGGCATTCTGTCTCCAAACTCTGCTTTTTGAAGATGCCTGCTCTCCTGCCAGCTGTCTGTGCATTGGGCTCTGAAGTGGTCACACACAGGTTTTTAATTGCTTGTTTCCATTCTTTGGCATCAGTTGATTGTGGAGCAGCAGGATGAGCAGTTGGAGCTGGTCTCTGGCAGCATTGGGGTGCTGAAGAACATGTCTCAGCGCATTGGTGGGGAGCTGGAGGAACAAGCAGTGTAAGTGCTGAGAAACAAAGCTGAAGGAGTTTTTGGAAATATGATGTTATAATCACCAGATTAGTTATGTTGTTCTTCCTTCTCAGGGTTTCTCCAAGTGCACATCTGCAGGGGGTTAAGTGTCAGGTGTTTACCTCTCCAGAAGTAGAACTCCATACTTCACTCTCAGATCAGGACCTGGCTTAGACCCCATGGAGTGACACATGTGACCTCTAAACACAATTGAACCCTTCAAGGGATTCTTTTAGGAGCTGCAAACAAATAAAACATTGAATCCTTTATACATATTTTCACCCAAAAGTTACACAGTATGCAATACCAGGATATGAGAGAGAAATCCCGCATGTTCCGTTAGCTAAGCCTAACACCTCTGTCCATAGCTTAGGTAAGCCTGGCTCATTCATCATTTGAATTGGGAATGATGACATGCTCCTTCTTCTACTCTTGCAGAAACTCAGCCATTCCCTGAACACCCTGGGCACCTTCTCCTTCTTCACCCAAATCCCCTACCCTTTTTAGACAGTCTTTGAAATTTTAGGCCTCCTTTGATTTCAGACTTAGTCTCGGGGGGAGTACTAGTCCAGAGGCATCCAGCAATTGTTAGCTTAATTACCTTGAGGCTGATCGTTATCTGTCAGTTTTACTTTCTCTGCTCTGTTTTTAACCCCTTTAAGTCATACTGTGTACTCTCAGGCAGTAGTACACAACTGAAGAGGGACACTGTCAAACATAATTAAACAACACCTTTGATTACTTCTTTGCAGGTCAACATGCCTGTGGTAACATTAATCTGTAATTATGTCACTGACCAGTAGAGAGGAAAAACTATGCATCACTGGTGAATGTGGTTTTGGAACAGAGAGTCCAAACAGCAACACAACTCTTATTCATAGTCGGGGCTAAAAACAAGTCTCACCCACACAAACAGTTCAAGGGTAGCTTACTGCAGTAATTTTCATCGATATATTTACATATACATTTAGACGTCTTCTTCCCTAGTCTGTGTTCTTTGCAATGATATAGTAAAACAAAATGTCTTGTTATGTTGCACAGTCTTCCAATTGCAGTGAGACTTTTTCAAAACTGTGGCTTATGTTTAAAAGCTTCCCATCTTGGGAATATTGGAAGGGAGGGAGTGTCCTGGATTATGAAGTGTGGTGGTTTCTTTAATGCATTCAGAGAACTCCAGTATGATTTTCATGTGGAATCTCTCGCTGTGTTTGTGTTGTTGCACGGAACACAAATACACAGTGTTTTCATAACTTTTAGTTATATCATCAATAAGGAAAAGTGTGCAAATGAGGAAGAGCTTTGTTGGCTTGTGTTCCATTAAAAAAAAGAAGTAGCTGACAAAATGGCAAGCAGGATGTCAGAAATTTTTATAAGCAATAGGATTTTGCAAACAGCAAAAAGTGTGGGGTAGATGGAGTGAAAGGGATTGAAGTCCTCTTTGAGCTATGAAATACGAACTTTCATTTCTACCGCGGAGAACTTTTTCAATGTTTTTGTCTATGCCTGAAGAAGGGTGTTTGTGTCCAAAAACTTGCAATTAAATTTTTTTTTTTTTTTTTGCAAAAATCTAGCTGGTCTAATAAAAGATATCACCTGTACCACAAGTTCTGATTCCTTTTTGCCTCTAGACCAATATGGCTACAACATGGATACCTGAAGTCCTCTTTTAAACTTGTCAAGGAAGCTTTAAAATATCTGCCTTTCAAGGTGTGCTTTTTTGTCTGACTGAATTTTTGTCAGTGATAAAAGGTTTTACAATCTGTTAGTGTTGCTACATGGAAGAAGTGGATTAGTAATTTGTGAAATTAAAAACCCTCTTAAAAACCATTCCAAATCACATTTTCTCCTGATATGTTACTGACATGAAGCTTTTAGCTTCGGTGCCACAGTTTTTTAATAGTAAAACTGACTGAGGTTCAAATATCATTTAAGTCTAAACATGTTCTTCTAATTTTGAATTATAAACTTCTTTCTTAATGTGAGTTAAAACCTGCTGCACAACTTAGAGATCATATGACCTGCTTGTATATTGACTACACACACAAGGGAAGTCACTGTAACACGAGTCCTCATTTACCATCAAAATAAAACTGCTGATTGAGCAGTTTTTTGCTTTGATACTATCAAGAAACCATAGAACAGGCTTTATTTTGCCAAGGTGCTTGGGTTCTGTTTATGTAGGCATTTAGCAGTTTTGTAAGCATGCTGAGAACTGTTTGAGACACCTCACTAGCTAATCTACTTGACATAGCTTACCTTTCCTCTGTCCTCAGGATGTTGGATGACTTCTCTCATGAGTTAGAAAGCACACACTCAAGGCTTGATAATGTTATGAAGAAGCTTGCCAAAGTCTCTCACATGACCAGCGGTAGGTACTGGAAATAAGCTTTGTTTTTGTGGCTTTTTTTTTAAACAGGAAATTCAAGTTAAATTGATCTTGGGTCTGAAATGTGTTTGCTTTCTCACTTGGACCAATGGTTAGCATTCTATTGCATGTTTGATGCAGAACATGGAAGAAGCAGGTCTCAGACTGGGTAAATAGTTAAAGGAAAGCAGTGTTATATGATTTGAGCCTAAAACCTGGCAAGATGTAGTTCATGCTAGGACTGTGTCTCTTTAGTATGTTACGTAGTGTTTGGGACTGTCTGCATGATAAAAAAATCTGCCTTATGAAGACTACAGCAAGCTTCTCTTCCATTATCCCACCCTACAGTTTTAATACGTTTGCTAAGGATATAGCTAAAGTTATGTAATTTGTATTAAACAGTTGCAATTCAGTGTAAACAAGTGACTTGTTCTAAACCCACAGTAAAGCTGGCCAAAACATGTTCCCTGTCTGTGGCTTCGTTTTGAGCTTCCAGTGTGGACAAAACGAAAAATCAAGCATGGCCCTTATCCAAACCTTCAACATTTATGAACTCAAACTTAACATTTGCCTTAGCCTTGGATGCTTCAGGCATTCACTCAGCTGGTGAGATTCTCACCCTGAATGATATGAATTGAATGGCTTTAAAAAACAGGAGCAGCTGGAAAAAAAAAACCAAGTCAATATCAGGCATGTCTCTTGCCTTTGCCACAATTAGCAGAATAAAATAACATAAAGCAGCAGCTTAGTTCAACTCATAGTTTTACACTTAGCACTAGAATACCCTGATAAATCAGCTCTTCCCATCAACTAAGTGATGAAAGAGGGTGCTGTCTGGTGAAGAGGTGTAGCTCATGTGAAAAGCTATTATAAGGCTCTCCATTGAACTTGGTAGGTCTCAGACCTGACAGGATGCCAAGAGTGGCAACAACAGGAAGTATGGTTATATGGGCTGTCTTATGACTTTCAGGAAGTCTCAGTCATCAGTTGTTCCCATTAATAAGCTGTGTTCTTTAATTGCCTTCCAATATGTATTATCTTGCCTTTCTTGGGTTGCTTTGGTATATCTTTAAAAGTAGTGGGTATATTACCTGGGTCAAAAAGGAGAAAAGTACTACTGGCATGCCAGATTCAGATGCCAACTTATTTAATGAGATGCTGCTTTGGGGAAGACTCTAGCAAAAGATCAGTACTTCCTGATCTTTCAAACAGGTATTATGGTATTTTACAGGTCACTGTCTGTTGATGGCATTAAGCAGCGCAGATTCACAGGGTGAAAAGGCCCTCTACAAATCGCATCCAAAACCAAATGGTTAGATTAATTCACCATTTGGTCCTGTTGGTGACCACTATACGCAGCTGGCAAATGACATAGGACTTTAGCAGTATGGACACTTGGCAAACATGGAACTGGCCTCACTTGTCCCTGCAAAGAGCATTGTAATTTTTTTTCAATTACTATGAAAGATTTGAGGCAAATTCAGAAAAGATGGCTTGTGTGTGATACAGCTTTCCACTGGATCACAAGGGGTCTAGTTCTAGCAAGTTTGAGATCTTTCTCCAGGAGTGTAGCTTTGCTTTCTGAAACAACAGTGAAAACTATAGAACACAGTGTAAGCAGGATTAGATGAGCAGCTAAAAATGACCCTTTTCACCCTACAGCTTCCAGCACTGTAAGTACTGGTGGAATTGTACCAATAATAGGATCTTAGTCATTGCAGAACTGGTAAGGGTGGACCCACCAACAGTAAAAGTTTTCTCTTCAGCCTTTTAAAAACACACCACATAATAAAACCATTGCCTTGTATTCTAAGGTGGGCTTCAAGCCACCCACGTCTCCTCCTGTACCTACATATTCTGTTTATTTAAGGGCTTCTATACACAGTAGTGACTTTAGTGGCTGCATTTGTTTTAAAATTGGTAGCTCAGGAACTGATAGCTGTGGTGACATTAAGCTCAATGTGGGTTAACCTACGTGGGCTGAGAAATGAAATAAAATATCCAATTTAGCATTAAGCTGCTATGGCAGGACTGCTTCCAGTACCTAAACTAGCTTGGGCATCCCTACACTGGTCACTTTTGTGACTAGTATGGATCTACCCCAAGACTCTGTTCCATTTTCCTCTAATAACTGGGAAAGTCATAGCTCTCGTTTAATCTTCATACATAGTGATCATTCGGGGTTTCCCATATCTTGCCTAAACTCTCTGACGAAGAGTAAAGTTAGAAATGAGTATTGCTGATAGTTAGGGGAATGGTCTCTTTTCTTCCTTAAACAGGATTGAGAGGCTCTCGAGATCTTACAGAAGCAGTATAGGTTTTACTTTCTTGCTGGCTAACACATCTCTAAAAGTTTGTTACTCCCTTGCTTTGGCAGTAGGACGTCTTGTAAAAGCTTCCTAAAGCAGTACAGGGCACAGCATAGCTGACACAAAGTGCTTAGCAGGTAGGAGATTTCTGACAGCTGTCTTGTGTAATATGTTGGTGATGCCTTCATTAGGGGTCATACCAACATTTCTGAGGAGAAAATCCAGTTCTTGGGTTTCTCCCAAGGAGTGTGTAGCTGAGTTACAGCTAATGCATTTTAGAAATCTTTCATCAGACCTCAGGTCCTTTTTTACTCTTATGGCTTTCTTCTAGCTTGAATTGGGATCCTAGCAATGCAGTGGAAAACAACCTTTTTTCTGCTACCTCATAAAAGGAGAAAACTAATGCATTTCCTCTTTTCTTCTTCCAGATCGACGGCAGTGGTGTGCTATTATCGTTCTCTTTGTTATCTTACTGGTGGTGCTTATCCTGTTTTTTGTGCTGTGATGGACTGACCTCTCTTGAACACTTTTTCCCCTCTTAAAAAAATGGGGAAATGAGACTCAGTTTCTGTTTCCGTCCACCCACAGAGATTCCTGTCATGAGAACTTGCATCCGGATGCTACTGTTGTGTTTTGTGGACTAACACCTGTGGCCTGACTCTTGCAAGCCCCTTCATTGTCTCATTTTAAGCCATCTTGACTTGCCCGAGGGGGAAGATGGAGGCCTAAAATTCTTCTGCACCTGAGAGATACTGCTCTTTGGATAATAGGATCCCTATCCTGGATGCAGGGGACTAGCTTTGGACTTTAGAATAAGGCGGTTTGGAAGGAGTTTACTGCTTAGTATTTTTCTCTGTTGCAGGTGTGAAGTTTGGAAGCCATCCTAAACTACCACATGCTCCTCCATCCCCTTATCAAATGCCATTCTTGTCAGGTTCAGAAATAGAACAATGGTTCCTTAAGAAGTTGTTTATGGAACCCATCACCAGCTAACTGTGAAGCACTTCCAAGCTAAGCAGTTGGTTGGTAAGAAGGAAAGCAGGCCCAGGAGTACCAGTGTCAGTAAATGCATTCATTCTTATTCTATCTTCACACTGACACAGGGCCATAAAAAGATGTGCAGAGGTAGACTGCCTTCCCAGTGGTTCATATATACTTTGCTTCTGAAAATACTGTATTGGGAGCAGCAGGCTTTTGAGCATTAAGTAGTTACTGTAAGGGGAGCAGTGTCTTATCATTGCTGAAATGAAATCCAGTGCAAATCAAGTCGATAATTAGCAAGTGGGGGACCAGTGCAGGCAAGGGTTACTGGCCCTGTACATTAGAGTGGTCTTCTATCAGTAAGATAAATGTGACTTCACACAGTGAAATCCATTGAACTCTAATATGCTAGGATGAATCTTGAGCAAAACATAAGTTTGCAAGACATCTCAGCAGTCTTATACATGACATGTATGTGAACTCTACAAACATTGTATTGCTGTACCTGAGGCAGCTGCGGTTAAACTCCAGAGCTTTAATTTTCTGTTTTCATGCACTGCAAGTTAAAAGTTGGTAAATACACTCTAGTCTGCAGCTGAACTTTTTTAAAAGCTTTTTTTCCCTTTTCTTCTTTTAAGTTTTCTTGGTTATACAAGCCTTGAAAAACTCTTTGCCTGATGCTGTTTTTGCCTTTGTATACCTGAGTAACTGCTTCCTTTAACAGCTGCTTTCCTTTCTGCAAGAGATTCTCTTTTTCTTTTTTTTTCTTTTTTTTTTTTTTAACTCATGGTGTTTGAGAAATAAACTTTAAAGATTTTAAAAATTATTAGGGCCATATTCTCTCCTTAAATGTGTGTCACTCCCCCTACGTCAATTGTGTACATGTATTGGAGTAGATTATGGCCTGAATGTATGTTAACACCTACGTAAATAGAATGTCTTAAAACATTTATTGACTCAGTATATTTTGAGAGTTGTTGACATAAACCAAACGCCAAGAAACTCAAAAGTCAAGTCAGACTTTTGTTCAATATTCCCAGTCCTTTGTTAGCTTTGAATTGCTTACCAGTTTAGTCCTGTTTCATATAATTTTCTCACTTTACACTCAGTGAGTCACTTATTTAAAAATACGGGTGGTGTATAGTAATACCGGAATTTTATCTAGAATTATTTGACCTGGCCTTTTTGGACAGAAAACCAAATAGCACTTTTGGGCTGTAAAACTGATGAAAGAAAAATAGGGGGTGGGGAGTGGGGATTAAGTTCCTTCTACCCCTTCTCAGACCTAAATATCTCTAGAAATGATTAACACTATTGTTTGTTTGGTTCTTTTTTATTTTTAAACTGGGTGTGTGCATTAGTGCCTATACACAATAGACTGGCAACAACTTCATAGTGCTTCCAAAAAAACAGTGACTTTTCCCCTAGAATCTTGAAACTCAAATTTCAGTTTCAAGGAGCCCCCCAGATTAAAATCTGTTTTTATGTTTAACAAGCTAAACATTCTTCACTGCAGTATTGTGCCTCATAGTAGCTCACCTATTTAAAGGAAACTGAGTTAGTACACAAACCACTTAAATTATAAAGAGCATGGAAAGTAGGGCTGGACTGTTGACTTCAGAATGGTCAAACTAGGAAGTAGCAGTGCCTAACTGTACCTTAACTTGATGATTACAGTCTGCTACACGTAAGGGTAAAAATGTATAGGCTTAATGGGGAAGTTATTTACCCCTGCCTCTATTTTAAGGTTCTTTGCTACGTGGTTCTTTGTCACTTTCAAGATCACCCTTTTACTGGCTTCCCTTGGGTTAGTTTTTCATGATTAAATTACATTGCATTATAATATTTTACTGTACCTCTTGGAAGTTAGATCAGACTCAGTTATATAATCATGCTTGTGTTTAATACCTCTCAAAAGGGCAAATACTCAGTCATGGACAGCCAGGAAGCTTACTATGGAACTCCTATTAATCATAGTTGGGACTAAATCTGTAGACCTGGCAACTGTATCCTTCAACACACTACATTTCAGTGTTGCTGTGACAAAAGAGATCTTGGTTCAAGCGCTCACTGCTGCTGTGAAAATATATTAACCTGTTATTTTTGTATTATATTTGGAACTGTCCTGTGAATTGACTTGACTTAACTTTAGACACTGAAGTCATAAACCTTATTTCTAGACTAAGAACCAGAGGAGCCGTTTGAATTCAGTAGGGAGAGGAAGACTCGGCATCTGTTTCACTGCGTGATGCTGTATTTTCAAGGCTGGTTTGGTACAAGGTGGTTGTATGAGAATGTGGAAATAGGTCTTAACTAGGAGTTGCACACCTCAGTTCCTCACAGTGTTTTAAAGGTGTCCTTTTCCATGTTCTCCAAGAATGGTTTTTAATGAGTCTTGAAAAACTGCTTTTAGACTGAAGGAAATTAAGCAACAAATAACCAGAAGCCAAGCCAATAAAAACTTGTGTGCTGGAGCATATCTTTATTGCTGCTTGTTACTACATTGAGTGTCTCCCATCCTTTTCTCCTGGTAAATGTTTTATTGTGTTGCTCCTTCATTTAATATCTAGTAATGGATTGTGGTGTTGTAATGAATAATGCAAGAGGAAATACTTAAATGGCTAAGCTTTGGAGCTTCTTTTTTTAACCTTGCTAGAAATACAAAATGAGGATAAAAAATAAATTTTAGGTGATTATTCAGGCCTAGCAATCTGCTTCTCAAAATTGAAGAACATAGTTCCAGCTTGAATGAACCTGCTCCAAAAGTAGCGTTCATAAAATTCCACTGAGATCCCAGGACACTTGGGTTCAAATGAATGATGTGGGGACTTAATCTTGGTTTGTCAGTTCTGGACAGTTTGAAGTCATTGAGCCTCCTGCTGAGCTGTACTAGAAATGGTGGGCAGTTAGACTGCTTGATGCCATAGAAGAACAAGTTGGGGGCTGCAGGAGCTTTTCAACTCCTCTGTTGGTCACCAAAGAGTCTCACTTAACTTGCAGTCAAGTGGCTGGTGGTGTGCTGTTTTCACACTGTAGAAGTTGTCATTCTTTCTCAGTTCCAAAGACCTACTGAACTCCCATGAGTCTGTTCTAACAGCATTTACATTGGAAGAGGCACTGCACTGTAGTAGTCCCCAACCTTCTGTTTGTCCTAGCTTTCAGTCTGGGACAATGACATTTGTTTTATGTTATCCTCTGCAGGTAGAGCAGAGAGCCTGTTGGAGTTGCATTAGTTCTCTGGCTTCAGCTGGGGTACATGAATTGAAGGCTCATGGCCATCCATATCTGCCAAGTATCACTGTAGCATGTCCTGAGTGCTGGGAAGTGAGATGCAGTCAGTCATTGCTGTAAACAAAAATGGGCTTCTCTCCCACTTTCCTTTCCTCAGGTTAGTCGCAGGCTGTCAAAAAATGGTTTTTAGTGTCTTACTCTGCTTATAAACCGATTTGTTCTACTCTCAAAGGCAAAGGCAAACTTTGCTTCCCATGACCTGATGAGCATGTCCCCTGCCCTCCCCCTCCCCCTCCCCAGTTCATCCCTTTTCCCTCAGATAGTCCTTTGAAAGGTAGTACTAGCTGCCCACTTGAACATACCATTAAATGCAAGCTCATGCCTTCAGTGCTGGATGCAACCCATACTGTATCTGTGTTTGGGTGGTGCCTGTCACAGGATTTGAAATGGGCCTAGAAGTTTGAGTGTTGCTGAAGTTTTCTGAGACTTTGCATCACTTCCACCACCTTTGCTTTCATGACTGTAGCTTGGCTTTTTGTAGTCTCATCCCAAAGAAGCTTCTGGCTTGTCATTCCGGAGAAAGATAACTTCATAAAAGCACCCCCAGTGCTCAGAGAACCATCATTCTGTTTGAGTATTCAGCTGTATTAGAACCTTCTGTTAGCATCTAAACTTTAAAAGAGGGCAGTATACAGCTCCATTGATAAAAGCTTGGCAGGACATGCTTGTTTGGGAATTGCTTCCTCTAGGCACTGGTTTACTATGGACCCGTTTACTATTTGGAAGGGAGACAAATGTAGTGTGGCTTCTTGCTCCTGGATAGCAGAGCACCACACAGCATGAAAAGAGCTCTTCTTATCCTTTGAGAAGTAGATCTTCCCTTGTTGATATTGAAAGCACCTCCCACAAGGTTAAACCTTGCTTTAGCTTTTAGGATGGGAGGAGGAACAGATCTTAACTTGCCTGCAGCAGCAGTTCTGTTTTTGAGCATGTTTCATCAGCTTCAAGAAAGAGCAAGGAAGTCTAGGCTTGATTTTTTTTTTTTTTTTTTTTAAATATAAAAACAAAACAGCTTGAAGAGGGGAGAGGCTCTGTATTCCAGAGGTGCAATACAAGAAACATCAGGCGAGTTGTGAGGGAGATAAACCTCAATCCTAGAAAGAAGTCTAGCTATTTGTCAGTTTGAAGCAGACTTCTGCTGAAGCTATACTGTTCTCAGGGGTGACAGAGGACAGAATAATGAGCAATGGCCTCAAGCTGCAGCAAGGGAGGTTTAGGTTGGATAGGAAAAGCTCTCACTAGGAGGGTGGTGAAGCACTGGGACGGGTTACCTAGAGAGGTGGTGGAATCTCCATCCTTGGAAGCTTATAAGGTCCAGCCCAACAAAGCCCTGGGAGAAATGATCTAGTTGGGGATGGTCCCGTTTTGAGCAGGCAGTTGTACTAGACCTCCTGAGATCCCTTCCAACCCTAATTTTCTATGATTCTCCCACAACACAGCTAGTTCTTGTACCAAATTTAGGAATATGGAAGACAGATCCAGCTCCTAAATCTTTGTGCGAGTTAAGCTAAGAGAGACTTCTACAATAAGACCACAGCTGTCAAGGCTAGTGCATTTAAATACAGTGGTGGTTGCAGAGTCCTAATGCCAGACTCATCATTAAATAACCTCATAATATTGAGAGTACTGAAGTTTGCCATCATCCAGTGTTCTAATAAGAGATTACAATCAGTTTTCTCTTTGCCTTCCAACAAACTCCTTATCCCAGTGATAGCTGAGGAACCAGCTAAATCCTAATGCATATGACAGATAGAGCTGGTTAACACAGTCATGTGTGCATGGTTTCAAACTGCATTTTTGGTAGAGGAGTCACAAAGCCATGGGGACAACTGCTCAGCTTGTTCTACACCATGGAAAAGCTTGCAAATTTATTTTCAGAGAAAGAAGTCCTTACCCCAAACAGTATCAAGGCACTGTCCGTACAACAGGCTAGAATGGCAAAGACCTAGAAAACCTCGTTGCCTAACTTCCCCTCCCTGCCTCAGCTACAGCTGTTGCAGTGCAATGCACAACAGGCAGCTGCCCCCTCTGTTGCCATGTATTTTGACACAGCTGTCCTCCCCCTCAAAACACTGCTCCATTGTTCAAATGTAGCAGGGACGTTTTCTGCTAATGCTGCCACAGAGCAGCAGCTGCTTGTTCCGTTTGGGTGCCCTGGCTCCTCTCCATGCTGACAGCTCAGAAGGGCAGTGTGCAGAGCCCTCACTTGGCCAGATGTATCTCGGGGTTTTGTAGAAGTCTCTGAATTTGAAAAACACAGAAGTCAGTTTCCTCTAATGTTGCATTCAGTGTCCTTGGTAAGGGAACAAGGTTGCAATAACAGACTGCCAAGCCTTGATTTTCTTTTCAAGGTGACAGAGAAGGCATCTGGCCACCCAGTTCTAATGGAACAGGCTCATGCTGGTTGGCTGACATTTGCTTTACCCTGTTCCTAAAGTTCTCTCCACAGGCCTGGAAGGGGCTGAGGTGTGGGCACTGAGCATGCTTCTCAGCTCCATGTTAAATGGAAAGTGAATGAGGTTCCATGGTTCTTTAATGGTGCAGATGAGTTTTGGCCTGCTGTCAGAGGAGTGAATGATCTGCTTGCTGCCTGGGGAGTGGCCCAGGCAGGAGTGAAACATTGCTGTGGAATTCTTGCTGTGGGGTAAGGAGGATCTCTGTCTAGGTGCCGTGCTGACTTGCTAGCAATGGGTTTCCAGCATGATGCCAGTGCTCAGTAGCCATCCACGGGACATGGAACACAAGCTGGTAGGTATGCAAGAAGTCAGTTGTATTCCAAAGTGAAGTTGTAAACTACTCCAGGGATTAACATGGAACTGACATTGTTACAGTCCTTTAAATAGGTAACAAATTCAGGTGGATAAAAAGCATTTTCCCTTCTACAGTCTTAAGAAGCAGGAACCATTAAGGAATGGCTAGGTCCAGATACACGGGGACAGCTGTGCAATGGAAGGCAAAACTAGTTCTGGACAGCTTACTGCTGACTCTGTGGGTGATGTGTTACACTGTGCAGTGGTGCACATGTTCTTCTAGCACTTGTAACCAACGTGCTGTGGTGCTGTAACAGCTGTTCTATGCCAGCTCTCAGTCCTGCCTGCCCTCCCTGAATTATCAACTGGGGATTGACAGCAGGTCCATTCCTGTGGAAAACAGCATGGTGATCCATGGCAACTGTTCCCATGAAACAAAATGCAATAAGCCACAGCTTGGTAGTAGCTTTTGGAGATGAAAGACAATGGGCAATATTACGGAGCCTGTGAAAAACACTTCATTTGAAAGGGAAAGTGAGCTGCAGTGGCTATCTAAGCAAATGGGTTAATCTGAAATGTATCAACAAGCATTTTCTACTTCTGCTGTTGGAATCATGTTACAATTATGTAAAAGATTTTTTCATCTTTCCACAGTATTAAAACAAACTGAAGACTCACTGAACACTTGCCTTTTTCTTTTTCCTGTTTGGCTGAAGAGTTGGACAGCTTAACTGTCGGAGAAAATGTGTCCAGAAGGAAAATAAGGGGCAAGCAGAAGAGGCTTCATTGCCCATTACTTAGGTCAATTTAGTTTCACTTACAGACACTTAAGGAAGACGAGATAATTTAGTCTTCAGCCTCATTGGTTTGGGAAGGGATGGCAGGCTTCACAAGCCTTTGACTCATTGAGAGGGGAAAACGTATCACCAGCCAGAACCAGTGAGGAGATTCGCATTAAAAAAGGATGGTCTTCCTATGCTTCCCTGGTTTCAACTGCAGGTCTCAGTGAATCTGTTTTCAAATGTCTTAAGCTTTTGCAGGTTGTTTTATTGGTCATGAGAACACCTCTCTCTGGCAGCTAGCCAGCTCAAAAAAGCATTAAGACAAAGCTGAGCCAGCCAGCAAGGTACTGTTAATAGATGCATGATCACGTACCTCAGCCATGATTAGAGCATGTAGGGCTGCAATCATATTAGTGAATGACCTTGAATTAAACAGCAGGAGCCAAAGGGCAGAGGTCACTGTTTGTGCTTATGAGAAAAAAAACAGATTACAGAGACAAAAGTTTACCACTAACCTACACATAACAAATGCCTTAATACTGCTATGTCCCTCTTCCGCCTCCCTTGACCAAGGGGTGTGGGAGTCCCCTCCAGCTGTGGTTAAGCCTGTCTTTCAGATGCCCAGAGCACTGCTCTGCTCTGCCACCATCGCTGTTACCAGTGACAGTTGGGAACCAG